TGTTCTGAGCCTACCCAACGGGTTCTGGAACCCACTGGGTTCGTTGATAAATACGGCCAATGAAGCTGGGAGACTGACTTCACAGAGTGGAGAATCCCGCTCACCTGCTAATTTTCCGCCTGCATCAAAGCCCTTCTTTGCCGTTTCCTCGCTCGCCTTTATGCAATTGATACGTTTAATCTAACAAACTCATGCTAACCATTAAGCTTAGAAAAGACCTCAAAACCTGGTTTCACCTTAGCCAAACTCTTAAATTCATACTACAAGAAATTCACATAACTCTTCTGTCAGAAGCGCTTTGCAAATAGCGAAGGCAGGTTTGTAATCAGCGCTCCATGCTCTATAAGATGGTATACATTTCATATGGAAACGCCATTTCGACCAAGTATCCTTCTAAGCACCAAAAATTACAACTGAAGAATTTTGCCATGGTCAAGTCTATTTTTACAAATGTTATGCTGACTCTCAAAGATGTCAAGGCAGTGGATATAAAGCAAACTTTAGAGGATACAAAGCAGTCTGCGTTTCATACTCGCTATAATTTTTGACAGAACTATTCAAAGCTACAAATTCATTTTTGGTGCAAATTTCATTGAAAGTCATAAGCTGAGTAGCTCTGTGTCATCCGCAGGGTCAAGCGTGGGGTGTGGCACGCCACACCTGGATTGTCGTATTGAGAAGTCAAAAGGGGAGTGGGTCGTAGTTGGGTAATCTGAACAATAATGATAACATGATATTCGTGCAGTTTGTCAGGTAACCCCATTATCGAAATACAAGCGCATGAGATATTGATTACCTTGAAGGGGGACCGTTTGATCGAAGTGGCCTCTTCACATGAAATCGATACGACTATAAAGAGCATTGAACGCTAGTTTCTAAGCTGTCCTCGTTATCTGCCGAGCGCCTCTGGGCGTCGAGTTATAAGCGTTTTATTAATTGAAAAATTGAATGCATACTTAGCACGAAACTCGTCAGAATTGCTCAAATGGCTGAATGTTGATTATCTGAGCACTCCTCTAAACACCACCTTCTGTCCAAGACACTCATACTTGACACTGCTTTATTTGAGCGTTGAAAAGACCGTAAAATTGATTTTACCTAAATTATGCGTTCATTCTTCGCACCAAGAAAATATTCATAACTCGGCATGCAGAGGCGCTCGGCAGATAATGAAAGCATATTAGGTTGTCCCGAAAGTTTTGCCGCTTTTTTCAAAGCGGTGTAAAACTACGCAATAAAGACCTGAATGAGTTTTAACATGCATTCGATGCAGCTTTTCCTTCTCTTTCTTACAGTTACATTTCCGAGCCAGGATCTTGTATGTTTTCTTGATAATTGTCACAATTCTTCACCCGTCATTTTTATCTGCTCAAAGTTAGGCTAACTTTCAAAAATTTCATTACAATGTTCCGGAGGTGGTTAAATATGGCGCAAATAGAACTATTCTCGGACCACAATGTGATATTTTTGGATTCTCCTAACCTGCTGTTTTTAGCTTCAAAGAATTATTTCTTCGGAGGTCTCGATTTTTGGCAGAGTCATGAAACACGCAACTGCAGCAAAACATGAAAGCCAATGATATTTCTGCAAATTGAAACTTGATTGCTAATAAAAAATAATTATGCAACGTAACCAAGTTTAATTTGCCGTGAAAGGTCAGCTTTTTTTTTGGAATTTTCGGTAACTTTACTTGGTAGACGTAATCAAAAAGCCGCGGTTTTTCTTGAATAAGTAATTATAATGGGCTTGATAAAGGTGATACATGTAATCTGTAGTAAGCACAATGTAGGCAAAGATTTCTACATAACATTGACTAGCGCTCCTTGAAAACATCAGGATAAAAATTTTTAAAATTCGGGAAAGATTTGGCGTTACTGCTGAATTGCTCAAAAAGCTATGGCGATAACATTGCAAAGACAGGTAGATCAGAGAGCAAATATAGCTGTGAGAACGAGGGCAAAAACCTGAATCAAACGATGCCTAGATTGTCTATGGAGTGGTGTTCTGTGCATTTTAGTGAGCGATGGAAGAAACGACAAAACTTTCGGGACAACCTTATATTAGGTTGGTGCAAAAGTTCGTTCGCACCAAATTCAAAAATTCATAACTTCTTAAATTCTCAACGGATTTACAGGATCTGAATTTTGTGTAAGAGAGGAACTCATGCTCTTTGCATCTGTACCTGAAGTGTTCGCTAATGTATACAAATGAATGAGATAGAAGCTCAAAACCAAAATCACTCAAAATTTGAATTTTTCGTGTAGGGTCATAAAAAATCGGAAACTTGCAACAAAAATCGGAGCAGTCGGTATTGTAGGTTGTTTCACCAGCTCTTTCTAAAGGTGCAAAGTTTGCGCCGATGGAGCGTCTCTATGAAAAGTTATGATTTCGAGCAAGCAATACAAAAGAGCGGATTTGATTTATTTTGGCATTTTTCAGGGAGTTCGTAACTTTTCACAGAGACGCTCAATCGGCGCAAACTTTGCATTATTGGAAAGAGCTTGTGAAAGAACCTACAATACTGACTGCTCCGATTTTTGTTGCAAGTTTCCGATTTTTTATGACCCTACACGAAAAATTCAAATTTTGAGTGATTTTGGTTTTGAGCTTCTATCTCCTTCATTTGTATACATTAACGAACAGATAAATACATAAAATAAATGAATATAGTGCCGCCGTTGTCTCTTAATTCAGCAAAATCTCGGCAACCGAGAGTTTCCAGCAGGGCTCGGCACTAGCTGAAAGGGAATTTTTAAGGGGAGCTGAAAGGAGGATAAAAGGGGTCACAGAAAAATTCTGTGACCCCTTTTATCCTCCTCACTCCTCTTCATGGCTTTTTGTTCTTCATGGTGGATTGCAGCCCAATTTTATACACAGGATGTCCTTAAAAAAATGTGCCTAGTTGATTGATAATAACTCTCTTTGAAGACTTTTAAGAAGCTTTAAGTACCGTTTTGTAGAGCCGGCTTAAACTTAGATATACAGTATAGAGCGAGTCACCGATCGCTCTTCATTACTGTAAGATTACGGTAGAAACTTCAAGCATATGGTATCACTGTAAAAAAAAGTCGTTTCTAACACTTTCAAGAAAACGTGAAAACTTGTTGATAGGGTTTTCATGGACGCTGAGATCAACACTCAACTATGTACAAAACTGCGAAGCTTTCCAAACGGTGTAATCGCATTTCAAAAACTTTGAGAAAAAGGTTTCTACTGCGTACCTCGCATAACTTTTTGGTGAAGCATCATGATAAGTTGCAAACTTTACATGTAGAATCAGCAACTATAACTAACCCAGCGTAAAAGTTTTCAGGCTGTTTCGTTTCCTTTCTAAGGCAAAATATGGCCTCTCGTGCTCAAACCCTCTTTAAAGTTTCTACCGTAATCCTACAGTAAGGAAGAGAGATCGGTGGTTCGTTCGATACTTTAAATCTAATATTTCGAGAAGCGTACCAATAATTTTTCTTGGTCGGCAAAAAATCTGGAAAAATTTCATCGGGAAAAAATTTTTGTCCCCCCCCCCCCGAGCCGAAATTCTGGGTACGCCACTGGTATGTACGTATATCCAAATAGAAAATTCCATGTTTGAACCCATCCGGATCAAACTTTGCGCACATGCACTTCGGGTCGGAACGGGTTGCATAGGCTACTTTTCGTTATTCAATATCGATTTTATCGATTTTTATCAATTTTTTGTAAGTATTTTGACCTGCAGGGTTGGGAGTTACAGGGAGGGGGTATGGAACATGCTGAATTATCCGTTGCTTATCGATTTTATCGATTTTTTGCAAAGTTTGGGCTATGGGACTGGGAATTGGCAAAGAGGAGTAAGTGAGTGTGCTGATTACTAACACAGAGGGAACAGGGAGAATGTAGAAATGGACATAGGGAAGGTTGTACAGGGATTGACGGGGCCGCGCAGAGCCGGGTAAGCCAGCTAGTTCAAAATACAGTGCAGAAATCCGAAAGCAGAAAAAAACAGAGATAACTACGATCTCCTTTCTCACGCCCCTCTCCCTTTCCCTTTCTATCTTTCCGTACTCCTCAACTCTCCCTTCTCAACAAGCTTTGCGAGTGAGACAAACACATAAAAAACAGAAAGGGAAGAAAAACGAGATGAAGGTTAAGAACACCGAGCGCCCAGCGGAAAATGAAAGATTCGCGCGCTGGGTTTGCCTAGGGGCACCCCTTACGATCGGAGCAGAGCGCCAATGAAGTCTTGTGAGGGCTAGAAAAAAGGCTAGAAAAATTATCGGATCACATTTCGCCTGTATGAAAACATATGCAATGAAGATACTAGTTATGTATAAAAGTATGAGAAATTATGTAAGCGGGTTGGTTCCAGCAAACTCGGAAAAAAGTCCAGCATGGCTTTCATTAACATAAAATCTCATAAATATTTGGACCATAGTCAGAGTCCCACCACGCGCATGCGCACCAGATGTGGTGTCACACCATTGCGTTTTGGTAGTAAAAAACGCTTTGGGGGTAGAGCATGCCGGCCGCATGGTAAATGCTTGTGACCCTTCTCTGCGGATCCCGCAAAACCAATATTTTTGCTTTTCTGCTCGAAAGCGATATCCAGCTTGATCCACTTCCAGCTGCGCCGAGCCCTGGTCCCCGTCTTTTGGAGTTAACAGATCTCCGAGCATCTTTTTACTTTACTTTACTAGTTCAGGCGCGAATTCTCGATTTGTGCTTAACTTACAATTCTTGTTTGGTTGGGCTAATTATAATAGTCAACCTCTAGCTGCTTACAGTTTTGTCTTGATGTGCCTGATTCAGGTTTTGCACGAGTTCATTTTTGTCAAAAATCTGTAAAACTCGGATTTGACCGATCTCGAAAAATTCACAAATTTTTTCTTGCTGTCTATAACCACCAGTTTGTAATTGTTTGTACTCTTCGTAGCCTAAGCAATGCCACAGTTCCAGTGCGCCTTATTCAGAATTTATGGAGAAAGTAGGAAACTTAAGCGCTACCTAAAATCAGTACCATTTAGTGGTCATTACAACTTTGAAAATGCTACTGTTAAATACGAAGTGAAAGGGTGGGAAGAAGTCATGACACCTTACTTGCAAGCAATTGACAACCTCGGTAAAGCAGCCTTCAATGTTGAGTATGGACGTGTTGCAATCAATGATGACACCTTTGACGACGTACAAGTTTACGCCGAAGTGAGTAAGCTACATTTGATCCCTTTTAGAGTATAAGCGAATGTTTCAGTGGATGCGAGCAGATGTCACGAAAGTAGCCTGTGCCTTTAGACTCTGTACAGCACCCGATGAATGGTTGATGTTATGTGCCACTGACCAACCGTAAGTGTGCCCGATGATAGAACTCATAAATGATTTGGAGTGAATGAATGCTTCATATTACTAGGTCATTACTAGGCCAAGCAAACTATGAAATTTTTTGCTGGAAAATTCTCAATTCGCAATAAGTCTTTTCCAGCTTCCCTTTCTCGTAAGGGCTCAGTGAGTTTAACGCGCTGAAATCAAAAAAGGGTAGGCCTCTCCGTTTTCTCAGCGCTACTCAAATAATAAAAAACCAACAAAAATCTTTTCCGATTCCTGTCTTGTGCCGCAGATTAGAATAACACAATATTTATAATAACACAATCTTTATGGAATAGATACTAACCTCTACAAATTAAAAAACGCATTTTTTTCTGTGTATCTACGCTAGTCCTAGACGATTGCGCCTCAGGAAAGAAGAGTGGTACGTGGCTCACCTTTGTTCTATTGGGCAAGTAGTAATCCTCCTCGAGTCGTGACGACTCGCTCCAAGCGCGGTAAATGCCCGGCAAATGCCTTTTTGGTGCCGCCCCATGATGAGGGATAGGCGACGTGACCGAGGCATATGCCCGGCTAACGCCGCAGCAACGCCGCCGGCACGACAAGGCAGCACCAGCATGCCCGCCACGCAGACAGTCGAGAAATAGTGCGTCTTCATTGAAAACGCAAAGAGGTGGTGGTGCCGACAAATGACTAGCGGTCGAGTACGTCCGGAGTGGTGGTGCCGCCCGCTGTCCGTAGATGCACGCAAAGGATCGAATTGCACGTCTAAATGAAGACATTTTCATTCCCTAAATCTCTTGATTCTAGTTCGTTTTCGTTTTCGTCTAATCTGTTTAAGTATGAACCGTTCGTTTTTCACTCTTGCTTTCGTACTCGAGATAATGCCTTTCGTTGCAGATTTGGTGGAATCCCTAGCAATACGCACGCAAGGTCAAAAAATCAAGAATTGGAATCATTCAGGCAGTTATTTTGGAAGAAAAGATGCACTCGACAAAGGTTAGCTTTTGATGTATCCATCTTTGTGGTTCATCTATTTTTGTTTCGTTTTCTTCGTTTTTGTTTACGTGTGCTAGAGGATTTGTGCATTTCAATGTTTAGAGGGGACGCAGCATGGTGACCCGAGCCATGCATCCGCTGGCAGTGGGGGGGGGGGGGAAGCTTCGCCGTCCCCACGCAATACATTGGACAATTGCACGCTCTTTTTAAAGGTTTTTTTCAATTTCCTGATTCACAGGTTGGAGATGAAATGAAGGAGGGAGGCAAAGCTCTAGCTAAAACAGTCTCCGAAATAATCATAGAAGAAACGCTAAAGAACTGAAACTATATGTCGAAAGAGTGTGTTACAGCAGCTTGAAAATGTAAGTTACCATTTTCTTACCAGTCATTGCTATCACATGTTTTCCAGTTTGACCCTACTCGAGCAGCCCGTCCGACAAGCGTCGCCGTACATCGTATACTCAAATCACTCAAATGCAAATGGAGGTTCTGAAGGTTAGGGCGTGCATTACTGATGCCATTCATTGCATACAGCTAAATCTTCAGGAGGAACAAGCTTTGCTTATCAAACTCTCACTTGCTGTAGACAAGATGGTCGCTATTCTGGATAAGCACCTGGAGTTGACATCTATCGCATGCGAAAGACCAGCTGGTCGGAGGCTCACCTCGAATCCTCGGACGAAGCCAAGTTGGAGTCCCGCTTCAGGGGATCCCAACTTGGCTGTGTCTGAGGATTCGAGGTCGTTTTCGTAAATCTGTTGCTGTTGATTGTTTGTTGCTTATCTGTGTTGATACTGTTGATACTACTTGTTTGTTGATACTGTTGCATTTTCTATAAATAACTTTTGATAATATATTGTTATTGCGTGTAATGTTGTCGAGGTCCAACGTTAACGGCAAAAAAGAGCCCTCAAGCGTGGGATTGAACCCGGGTCTGGCAGCTGAGAGCCGCGCCCATTAGCCACTAAACTATGACGCTGCATTATACCCTTGAGTCAATGTTTTTAGCTGCCTTTCTTTATCAAATCTCAAAGAAAGGATTAATGAGGGGGGGGAGGGTGCACGAGCTTGCTTTGAATAAGGCGTAGGACAAGAAACATCGGGTAAGGTTTTGCGTCCCAGTGTTTTTCCCAAATCAAAGGACGGGTGGATGCTCAAATGTCCTTTTTTCCAAAAATTCCTACTGCACCTTACGATTCTTTTATATGAAATGATTGTTCTATATCTTCATGGCTGAGCTTCTTCCTCATTCTTGGCTTGTGCATCGAAAACGTTCCCAGTAGCGCAGTGGCTGTGCGCGCAGCTCACCGCGCGGTCATTGCAAGTTCTGCGACGAGTGAGCGCGATGTTTTTTGCGGTGGACGGCCAGCGTCTGTCGTTCCCAAGTTGTGACGCCCTTTAGGCGGTCACGACTGCGTCGTCTTTGAGTTGTGACGACTTTGGGGGATTACTCTACTGGCCTTGGAGCGCTCTTTTCGTAAGGTCTGAGGTTTGAGCGTCCTAGCTATGAGTAAAGGCCGAGTTTTGAGAAGAGTCTTTACTATTAGTTGTACATTATAAAATTCAAGTGATACAAAAGAACCTATGTGAATTGGAAGAGCTATTGCCACTTCAGATCGAAAACATGTCAACACACTCTTCATTCGCACTGATTTAGTTAGCGTCGAATTTTATTCCCATTGCCTACCGCGCCTAAACCAACAAATTTGACGCCATATAGTGCAATGAAAAAAAATGATCTAGTCAGTGTTGGAATCAACAACAAAACAGCACCCTCCATCCTTGTTCCGGGTTTCAACACTCATACCGTAATTTCCGGGGAAGGCAAATCTGGTCATACATATCGTACAGATATTTTCATTACTTCTCTGTAGGGCTCATTTAAAGCAGCATTTCCAACGAAATCTGCGGCAAGGAACCTATGTAATTTTGCAGTTTTCTTTGAGCAAAGCATGATAACCTACCCATCTTCTCAAAGTTTTTCTTTCTCAAGAGTTCAAAACAGCTATATTTTCAACCTTCAGCTTTCGTCAAAAAAAAATTTAAGTTGACGTTTTAGCATTAACGCCATTTTTTTCAAAACAGGACTAAATTCTTGACTAGCAGTTCGAGTATTCAAATTTAGGCTTTTTCAATCATTAGTGTGAAGTGAAGAGACGGGAGAAGATATGCAGAAATAAATTAGCGAAAAACAGATCACGAATGACCTTCATAACGCACTTGATAATTTTTTCTACAGGCCCATTCAAAAAGGTAGCAATTATACGCTTTACGAAGCCGAAACAGCCACTATAGCGACGACTTCTGCAACCACTACTACAACTATTGCATCAACTATTGCCTCCACAGCAGCTACCACTGAGATCACTACCAGCTTAGCCACCACACCTACAGTACCCACAGGCACACCATGTCCAACAGCTCCAACAACTCCGTGTCCAACAGCTCCAACAACTCCGTGTCCGACCTATCCGCCAGCGAGAGCGAAAAGGGAGGTGAAGACAGTAAATGCGGACGTGTTTGTGAAGAGAGGAAAGTTACCCAAAGATGCACCTGGTAAGCATACTTTACATTAGTAACAGCTATTCAAGTCATTAGGATGTGAGATATCAGAGGAACCTCCATAGCATAATCGCTATAGCTGTATCATCAGCATATGAAGACAAGACTTTAGTCTCAGAAAAGGTCTCATGCAAGGAACGCAAAGAGCCAGATTAGGAATTTAAAAATAAAAGGTAAACTCAACAAGGTAGGCTCGCAAAACCAAAGTGGCCGATCACTACAAGATGCAAATCATACGAAGAGCTCAAAGCGCCGAGTTCAAATCTACCTTTCACATCTAGAGAATGCTTTTGGGAAATAGATTTAAGGTGAATTAAGTTTAAATTGCGGTAAGTTTGCAAGACTAGCCAGAATTATCAACACCCTGAGCATTCAAAACTCTGACCTATTAGGGTGAACGGTAAAAAATGGGACACTTACGAAATAACTGGGGGTTTCTCAAGAATGAGAAGCGATTAGACTTTCTTTTTTGAAAGATGTTAGAACATGTTATTCTCTTTCAGATATTACCTATATAAGGTCATTTACAGAGTTAATATCACTTCAATAAATTATGAAGTCTGATCAGTATCTGCGCAGCGAAACATCTGAGACCACCCAAAGTACCACTGGTGGAGTGGGCTTGGGACAATCACTAAACCCACGACGGCTTGGTGGCCTCACCTTTCAAAGTCAGGAGATATGGCCATTAGCAGCTTTGAGAACAAAGACACGCGCTCTTCAATTCTTTGCAAGTGAACGCATGTCTTCTAGGTACCATCCAATAGAGCATTTTACGCTCTATCCATCCGTGTGCAACATACCTAAGATTTTATCTATCTTCGGAAAATGTAAGGCAGAACATGAATTTTTGGTTTTTTTGCGTCGAAAATATTAGGTTGGCACGAAAGTCCTTGCGTAATTCAAACGCAATTCAATAACTTTTCAAAGACTAAACCTAAATTCACAATCTTGTATGCTAAAAATATTAGAAGTCTCACGCTCCATGATGGAAGTTCAAGCACAACATTCCATGTACTAGCCATCGAGAAAGAAGCTCTCAAATATGGGGCTTTAATTTTTGCGATTTTGAGTTTGGTGGCAGAAAATCGCAAAGTGCCGCTAGTTAGCCGAAGAAAATTTGTAGAATCTACTTACACAGCAAAAGTCCATACGTTATTTCAGCAGGCTTTGATCTCGCATGGAAACGCAAAAACAAAAAATTTGTGAAATTCCTCATTTCGCAGGACAAATCCCCTTATCGCTCTAATTTTTCCACAGAAACGCAGTTTGCAACCAGAAAATAGACATAGTGCCTATTTAGAGCCTTGCGTTTTCTCGATCGTAAAAAAGTGTTTTCGACGGAAAACTGCAGACATGAGGGGATTTTTTCCGCAAAATGACATATTTCACGAATTTTTTGTTTTTGCTTCACCGTGCAAGATCAAAGCCTTCCAAAGTAAAATATGGATTTTTGTTGTGTAAGTAGATTCTACAGATTTTTTTCGGCTAGCTAGCGGCATTCCGCGATTTTCTGGCACCAAACTCAAAATCGCAAAATTTGAAGCCCCATATTCGAGAGCTTCGTTCGTGATGTCAAGCTCACGGAATCTCATGCTTAAACATTCATCATTAAGCGTAAGGCTTCTGATATTTTTAGCATACAAGATTGTGAATTTATGTTTAGTCTCTGAAAAGTTATTGAATTTTGTTTGAATTACGCAAGAACTTTCGTGCCAACCTAATAGCTATTTTTCAGGTTTTTTTCGCTTTTTTCCTGAAATTGAAAAGAAATCTCGTGCACTCAACATATCGTTTGAAAGAGCATGAAGAGCTCTTTCGAATGGTATGTCACTTGCATTACGACTTTACGGTATAGCATCGCCAGATTGAGAAGTGTTCCAAAAATCTTGTCTGAGTTCTTCACGGCACCACGCGTACGGTTATGAGAGAGGAGCGTAACGCGTTGCCAGAATAATAGGCGAAGGTCGGTTATGTAGGCGATGTTTGAGTTGCAGCCTACTTATTGTTGGTGAGAACAAAAAACCTCAAAATGTGAAAAAAATCAAGCTGTCCCATTTTTTACCGTTCACCCTAATACTTGGAACAGCTTATCCATGCTTAATGTGATGCTTTCCTACTTCTAGTGTTATTCTGTAGTACAAACAGCATTTAAACAATTTCCTCGACTTCAATGATAAAAACCCATAATCTCCTTCCCAAAAGCGTTCTGCAGATAGGAAAAATAGATTTGAAATCAGCGTTTCCAAGTTCTTTCAGAAGTTGTGCATCATGCGTTAACTGGCCACTTCGACTTCGCCCCCCCCCCCTTGTCTTACTGGAAGTTCGAGACATTCGTTTGAAACAGCTACGTTTTTACGTAACAGTGTGTGGAGGGAATCTCAATACTTCTTCCTCAGTGCTTGTTTGTAGGATTCCATTGTCTGTGGATTTCGGCTTTATAGACACGCGTTTACAGACATAGTTTTGTTATTTTTTTATGACTCAAAGTCTCTTGATTTCAGGTGAGAATCAAATCTGTTCCAACAACATAGGGATGACAGACTCATTGAGGACGCTTTTCCTTAACATGCATAATTATCGCAGGTGGCTGTAGACCATTAATTTTGAAGCTGTTATTAAGAGCCCGTAATCAGTTTAAACTCAGTATGTTTCAGAGCCAAGCTAGCTTTGGGAAAAGTCATTAGTTATAATCGTAAGCGCATGCCACCAGCCAAAAATATTTTCAAATTGGTGGGTAAGCAAATTGTTACCACTAAAATTTGATTCAACTCCCTGTCAGAGCTATGCCTGCGGACTGGAAGCAGCGGCTTTGCGCTACGCTACCTATTGCCCATCGACAAAGTCTAAAGCGAATGTTAGACCGCTTCAAGGAGAAAACTTTTTACGTCTTGCTAAAGTCGGCTTTTCAAGTTTTGCAGATGCAGTAAACATGGTAAGTTAGGCACGCTGAAACGACGTTGGCTTAACTTGTTCACTAGACTGTTTACGATTGGTGGGATGTTGTCAATGATACTCCTGTCATTGACAACACAGCAAAACTCCTTATTCGCCGTCTTCGCTCTCCTATAGCAACTTTTACGCAGGTAAGCTTGTAATCATAATGAATAAGTTAAACAAAACCTGAAAATATAGATGGCATGGGCAACCACTAGATTTTTGGGATGTGCTATAGCCGACTGCAATTCATACTATGTATCTGTCTGTAGATATTCTCCAGAGTGAGTCTTCAATCCCAAAAACTGCATTAGTCCTAAAAAGCCTTTTCAGGGGAAATGTCATCGGAGAAATGGTCTACAAGCCTGGCCGTACTTGCACTGAATGCAAGCGTGGTACAACATGCGAAGAAGAACTGGGGCTATGTGTCTAAGAAACTGGCAACCACCACACGAGAATTATTTTTTACATCCTATGAAGTGCGTATGTTTGTCAAAAATCATGTATCTTACTTATGACTCCCAAGAAGGGCGTCTAAATGCAAATTCTCCAACGTCTGTGTTGAAGAGGTTCTCTAATAAAATATGCGTCGGTTGCCATCTTCGTTTGTGTGTCCTTCTGTGAAGCCCTGCCCTCACATAAAACGGGCTCTTGTTCAAACAGCTACTCAAAAGCAGTGGGTCGGCAGAATGAGACCCGCGGTAGAACAAGATCACAGGGTAGAAGCCCCATAGTGGAACCTGTGGGCCAAAGTTCGCTCTTTCTCTGTTCTAACCCCCGAAATTTCCACGCGAAGGCAGCGCTAATTTTCGCTCCTCTCCGACCCGCCCACCTACAAACATTGACGAGTGCACGCAAAGCCCGCCATGGCGAAGACGCACAATCGTAGCGGGACCCTTATGCTTATAGCATTGCGGCATGGGCACTTTGAGGTGGAAGGGAAATCGCAAGGTGGGCGGGGTCGGAGATAAGGGGAGACGAAAGCCCTGCTTTCGCGTTGAATTTTCGGGGGTTAAAAGTGGCGGAGAAACATTGAACTTTGACCCATAGTTCCATTATGGGGGCTTCTACTCTGTGATCTTGTTTTGACATGGGTCGCATTCCGCCGAGCCACTGCCTTGAATGGTCCTGCCTTCAACTTTTTACTTGCAAATACTATCAAGAACAAAATTAGCTCATGCAAGCAATCGTTTACAGAATGAACGCGCCAAACAGTTAGGAAGGTTTTACCATTTTATAATATCTCCCTTGGTGCTAATAAAAGTTTGTTTTGCAGCACTCAAATCCTACCATTTTAGGAATCATACTAGATCGGTCAGAAAGTTCTGTCATTTTTATCGATCGTAACTTCCCTGAAATATGCTTCGTTATAATCTCATTAGAAAGAAGAAGCCTTTATTTTGCAGTACTGTATATGCGCGTACATTCACGCTGGGAAGCAAAGAAATTTGAGAGGGGCTTCATATTTTGCTACTCTAGACGTCTGCATCAAAAGTAAAAAATCAGCTGTAGGAGAGATTTTTTTTCAAATCACCGTTCCCATTAAGCGACAGCATCTTACTAAAGAATTCGGGGAGCATTTTTCAATGAAGCTTGCAGAAAAAATTCTTCTCCACATAATTCAGCTAACAGACTATCGGGTTGGAACTAGACAATCATGTAGACAAAAAGCTTCCGATCTTTGAAAACCTGCAAAGCAATCTCCAACTCCCCCCTCTCTACCCCCGCTAATGATAAACGATATTGAACTTACCTACAAGCATAAATGCATGCGGGGAACCGGGTTGATTAGAGCTGGAGAAGTCTTAACTTTCCTCAGTTTTGAAAGGTCTAAGGATAAATTAACTCGGTTGGTAATGGCTGACATGCTGGATTCCGCAGTAACAGAAAAAAGGAGAAGACCAGAGGTGTAAGGAGAGCTTCGGACTTTGGCTTATGGATCACCAAAGAGAGACTCTTTCTTGATGCAGGAGAGTCTAAATTTCCTCAACTGACAATGAGATATTGTCGATAGCTTAGAAAGTAGTTAGGCCATCAACTTTTTTCTAGCGTTCATAAGTGCGAGGGTGAGAAGCAATTTGGCAGCCTGGGATATTGACGAAATGATGAATTTCTTCCAGATTTTCGCAGCCATAAAGAAAAAATCTTTATATTTGTTGGCGTTGTTTTTCTGTAATGAGGTCAAAAAAGCAGGTCTTGTTGAGCATTCTTTGTACAGAATTTGGCTGCAAAGTATGCAAGCCACTATTGAAAAATGCTATATATCTTCCGACAAAGGAGGTGAGGAAGAAGCAGAATATGTCGAAGCTCCTTTATGAAAGCTCTTGAACGTTACATGACCTGTCAAAAGAAAAAGTTTGTCACTCTCAAAAATCTAGTGGAAATATTTTGACACATCTGCTTCACCCCGCCAACACAATGGCTTGGCTATTATGGGTCACGGAGCAAGGACTTTATTAAGGCAAAGCAACAAGTATATACAATTCCGAAGCGCAAAACTTAGGGGGTAGATTGTCGAGAGGGTATGTGCCAAAATGAAGCATAGCTGCAAGCGTTGCGGTACTCCCGCAGTTGCCAATATGACGCACGTGTGTAGTAGTTTTCTTAGAGTAACTCGTTCTTCGGTGGATTGAAAATGGTGTGAAAAAGTAAAGGCATCAGGTTACACTGAGCTCCCAACTTCTTTTCCAAGTTTTCTGATGTTAGAGCGTAAGTATTAATTTGAGAAAATTTCGACCTACGCATATGTCCGTAAGCAAAATTCTTGCGATTTCGCCACGCGGTCTGGCCATTTTCCAGATCTCTTCAAACCCCACAGTCGCAGACCACAAATGCTTGATGTACTCAATTTTTGTGAGTCGACAAAATGTGCTATTTTCCATGTGCTTAAATTGAGTTTGGGACGAGTTGTAAGCGGTTGGAGTATTGCCAACTCGCGTCGCGACTGAAACGCGTGAGGCATGCACGGGGGCCTATGGCGCATATAGCTGGTATCGTTCATGTTGGTTGCCCCCCCCCCCCCTTCCCCTCGAAATTACGTACCTTGCGTACGCAGGCACGGATTCGCTGTTGGTCTGCGATTAACCCTCCATCCGCCACCTTGTGACGCCCTAAGTAGCGTCGAGAATGACCGGCTGGGATTCCAAAAGTGCCCTGAAGCGGATGAAATTTTCAGTGGTAGTATGCATGAGACATAAAAGCGCGAGCGGCTTGTTCTCACTTGTGTTTACTTGGAATAATTTCTCTCATTATTCAAAAGATTAATGCAGCACTGTAACCAATTTTTTGGACATGATTAGCACAGGGCCCTTTTTTGAAAATTTTGGGACTCCCGCCAGAAGATTGAAAAGCATCTCAAAAAATTCTTGAAAGGGCGTTTTGTCGCCTTCTTCTCTGAAATTCATGGGACCGCCACTGAGCAATACAAGCATTACGTTTCTACAGCTCTTCAAGCTTCTTTTCAACTTCTCTCATTTTTTGTATCTTTACAAATTGTTCATGAAATTCTGAGAGCATGCCAATATGTACGAAGATAGCCCGGAGGTTCATTCTTCATTGACGCGATTCGTTAAGTTTCCAAAAATAATATGGAAAAGATGAAAAATGCAGAATTTATATTCTGTATGAACATTTATACATTGGATGCGGTAACGCTCCACATATAATGAAACGAAAAGAAAAGGCTCACGAAAGTTAGGTATTTTCCCTACTTACAACTTTTACACTCAAGCACACTATAAGGTTAATTTTTCGCGAGGCTTATTGTGATTACTATCATATCGTTTACTGTAGGATTATATTAAGTTAATGCATAACTGATGTAAAAATCTGGAAACATATATTTGACCAGTTCGTCACCTCTGCTTCGCAGAGGCTCGCACTGGTTCTTCTGTCTATATGCCTTACCCATTCTCGCATAAGATGGCAAAACTCACCGCGCAATGCTCATTATCGCAAATAATTTGTAAACAACTACTCATTCTGAAAGCTATTTCACGTCAGGTCGGTAACTTCGCGACGATGGAATTTTTCGCTGAAGAATAAACGCAAATTTAAATCGGGTCTTGAATTTTTTTATGGCCTGGAAGTTGCCATAAGGAAAGCAATCACGTGACCTACATCCCTCTGCAGAAATCTTTCCGAATGCTCTTGGAAAACTTGGGCAAATCCACAGTTTACACAAACAATTTTTTTGGCGCCCTTTTTATGAAGTAAGACTTTTGACCACCTTTTTGAGGCTAAAGATCATGGCTTGCACATTCACTTGCCAAACATAATCACGACTTTGCAATAAGTGGTACTGCGGACCCGATATTGCGCGCCAGACGTTAAGTGGATCCGTTTGGGGTGCGATATTTGAGGGACCCGCTCAGCGGATCTGCTCGTTCTTTGGCAAGATGAATATGGATAGTGGCAGTAGGTGATGTGTTGTCAAAAAATGCGACTTGAAACTTTGTTTACGACTGTTCTGTGAATTTCGTTACATACAGACAGACAGACACACACACAAAAACATGTAAGCACCCCCTTATTATAAGTTATGATGGACCAGGGCTCGGCGCGAGTTGGCTATTTCAATTTCTTAAAAACGAAGTCCACATAGATTTCGCCACAAAAATACGACATCACTGACGCGATGATGAAGATCAAAACGACGAACGGAAAATAACAGAAGAAAAATCAAAAACAACATTGAACATGCGAGAAAGAATCAAAGATTATCCGTGTATTATTATACAGGGTGTTCCAAGAGTACGTATGCACTATTTGATCGTTAACATCTCTCTTCCCAAGAAGTCTTTTGCCTTGCTTCAGGTACCGTTTTGTAGAGCTGGCTTCAACTTAGATTTGCATTATCGAACGAATCATCTCATCTCTCCCATCTCTCTTCTTGTAGGATTACGGTAGAAACTTGAGACATATGGTGTCAATGTGGAAAAGCTGCCGTTTCAAAGATTTTCAAAAAAAAATGTGAAAACTTGTATAATAGGGTTTTTATGGACGCTGAATTCAATACTCAACTATTCACAAGATTTCGAAGCTTTCTAAACGGTGTAACCGCACTTTTTAGGAACATTGAAACAATGGCCGCTACCTCTTACCCGGCATAACTCTTCAATGAAGCATCATAAAGAGTTGTGAACTTTACAGTTAGAATCAACAACTCTAATTAGCCTGGTGCAAAAGTTTTCAGGCTGTTTTGTTTCCTTTCTGAGGCAAAACATAGCCTTTCTTGGCCCAGAACCCTCTTTGAGGTTTCTACCGTAATCCTACAGTAGTCAAAAGAGATGGGTGATTCGTTCTTTACTGCAAATCTAAGTTGAAGCCATCTCTACAAAACGATACCTGAAGCAAGGCAAAAGATTTCTTGGGAAGAGAGATACTAAAGATCAAACAGTGCATACATACTTTTGGGACACCTGTTGTTATATTAAGTTGTCCCGAAAGTTTTGTCCGTTTTTTCAACCTATCATAAAAACACGTGGAGCGAAGATAGAGAAACGCTCTAAGAGCTACTCGACGCATCTTTTCCTCCTTTTTTTAACTGTCATGCTCCCATGTCGATTACTCTTTTGCTTACTGAGATAAGGGCCAA